CCCAAGGATGCCTTTAACATTTCAGTCTTTATGAAACACATCAGATGAAATAGAAGTTAGCAAATAACAGTGACAGCATGGTTAACTGAAAGTTAAAGCTTGAAAAATAATCTAATATGCCACTCATACTATGTACAGGTAACTAGATAACCACACAGAACAATGAAACTCAGATTTGGGGAAATGTTCCAACATCAGACAATTTTTTTAATGTCTGTAACAAGGACCCCAGGGAATGAATATCCAGTATCATCAGTCATCTTGGAAAGAGATAGAACCTGGGGCCGGAAATACAAATTGCCCTTGGCTCTGAAAAGGAGAGACTTGTCCGTTTCCCTGAGTACAGAAGCCAAGAAGGCTTTGGTCTTGAGGTGTGGAAAGGCCTCAAGTGTTCTCTGTGACAAAAGCGAGCTGTGTGCGCCATCTGGAAACACCAGGCCTGCTCTGTTGTGGTTACTGCTGACAGCACTACCTTCACCGACAGAGGGAGCACACAACCCCAAATATGGCGCCTGGTGATCTGGAGCGGACGTTACCTGAGACATAGCAGGGGCAGGAAACATATTCAGTCCTCCCCATATTTTTCCCTAAAAACAGGGCATAAGATTCCCATGAGAGAGGGACCTTCACTCTACTAGAAAGAATATTCTTACCACTGGAGACAAACAACAGACTCTTTGAACCCCCGCTTATCTTCCACTGTCCCTGTGTACTTCCTAGTCATTTGGCCGTGCATACTTCTCTGAGCCCCAAGCCCTTGTTTCTTTTTCTCCTTGCATTTCCACAAGGAGATTGTTCTCTGTTAAAAGATATAGAACCTTGGGTCAAAATGTTTCTTTGGGGTCTTTTTCCTTTCTACAAAGCACCCTGTGCCACATAAAAAATACTGACAGCAAATTAAATTTGTACACATTTTTGCCTGTTAATCTGTCTTTCATCAGTCCAATTTGCAGTTTCCAGCCTTAGAAACTAGGAGGGTAGCGGGGGGAGCCTTCTCTCCTTCTGAACACAGTGAAGCAAGAGGCAAAGAGAGCCATATCCCTCTCCAGGGATGAGAAAGACATTGGCGTGATGTGCTCCGTCTGGTGACCACATACATGCTGTCAACTGCCAAGCTGACTTGCTGTTAGGAGGTGCGCTCTCGCCTGGCTGGCAGAGGTGGGTCACTGAGGCTGTGACCTGGAAGGGTGCATCTCTCCCCCTCTATCTCATCTTGTCTCTCTGCTTCCTGTCCACCATGATGTGAGAAACTTGCCTCCACCCAGACGCTTCCACTCTACCCTACTGCCCTAGAGGCAGCCATACAAGGACTAAAGCTTCTGAAAGGTGAGCAAAAAATAAACCTGTGCTCCTTTAAATTGCAGGTGTTAGGTATTTTGTCCCAGTAGTAAGGAACGTGACTCAGAGAGAGGGGGCAGTCACTGTAAAGGGGATTTTACCTTAGGCTTCTATGGTTCTGTGCCTTGTGTCATAATACCTTGCTAAAAAAAATTAGATGGTGTTAGTAAATATAATGATGTGGAGTAAAACTGACCATAGAATGTATTAAAATTTTCAAGTAGAATTTTAGTTACAAGCAGTTTTAACCATGAGGAGGTGGAGGTGCAGGGCAGAGAAAGCAGACTTGAGCCAAAAGCAGAACCAAAACTAAATATACAGAGGGGAAAATAGTGAGTCTAATATCAAGTGAGACTCGTACAATAGAATAAAAATCGCACATCTAGTTCTTTGCTACTTTTAGATGACAAAAGCATATTTTTGTTTACACATCCTTGAAAGAAAGTAAATTAGGCTTTAGATAATCAGCGGAAAAGGGTTTGAAGGCCAAACAAAGCATCCAGGTACCCCCAAATGACTCCCGGACTATAATTACGTGGAAACACAGGGAAGTGGCTGTGTAGAGTTCACACAGGACTCGTGACATCAGGCAGTTCTCTGTGGCCACTCACAGAAGGACAGCTGAGCACAGAAGATAAACCACAGAGGAACCTGATAGAAAATAGAACAACAAGACAATGGCTGGGAAATTGTACACCTATGTGAATAGCTATTGTAAAGATATTTGACCTGCATGAAAACTTCTGTGTCCACAGATCTAGTATTTCTCCATGGTTGTGGCAACTAGTTAGTAGAAATAAATGAGCTTCCAATGCCTTGTCTAATCTTGTCCTCTCTCTCCTCATAATCTGAGAGACATAGCTCTTAGCACGGGTGATGGCCACTGCATCTCTTAATGGCACTGTCTGTGAATCAGGATCGCAGCAATCATGGTACCCACTGCTCAAGAGAAACCTCTCTATTTGTGTTTGCCAAGAAGGGGCAAGACCATCTGGAGGAAGAAAGAGCAGATTGCCAACAGAAGCAAGTGTAACTTCATTTTATTGGCTCAAGCCAGCAACTCTGTTACATAAATAAGTTGGAAATCACAGTTTTGAAATACAGTAATGAAGTTTTAAGTGAAGGAATACCTTAGAAATAAGTTGGTCTAGCTCCTTCATCTTACAGATAAGCACCTTGAGACAGAGTGTCTCAAAGACAATCAGTTAATAGCCAGTCTGGGGTTAATATTCAAATCAGTACATTCGTCATGAAAATGCTCAGATAAAGTGGTGTGGATTGCAACGCAGGAACGTGTGATGCAGTTTGAGAGATTTTTAAACCTAGAAAGGGGAAGAGTTAGGAGCATAAATATTTTCAGATTCCCAAATGAGAGACAGATAGGAAAAAGCTTGAATTTACTGTCTTGGCTGGAGTTAACAAGGAAGGTTGTGGGCACCTTAGAGGAAAGATTTTAACAGTTTAATATCAGATAAAACCTTTTAAGCAGTTGAAATTGGCCAGAACAATCTGTCGGAGGATAGTAGGGTTTTTGTCACTGAGGCATTTCAGAATAGACTGGAAAATAATGTAATGCAGAGAGGAGTGGGGTAAGAGGTACAGAGAGGAGAATTCAGGCATGAAAATAATTTGGATAGGGTGACCTTTAGGAAGATGTGATTCTTTACAACCTGGGACCCAATAAGGATCTCATTCTTGCCTCTGAACTCTAAAACCTATCTTCCTATGTGTTTGCAATAGTTTAAATTTTAATCTATTTCATATTTCAGGGTATTATGCCCTGAATATTTGATTTGAATGCTATGGCAGAAGGTCACTCATATTCATTTATTTTCTTTTACTCTTATACACTTGCAGTGAGTCTTTTGAATCCATTATGCAAACACATGCAAATCATATGCAAATGGTGTGGCTTCAGAAAATGACAAAATCTTATGGCCTTAACCAAGCCATCAAACCTTTCTTTAAGTAAGAATGTAATATGCTTTTTCAGTGTTTCTAGGGCAGGAGACGATTTCCTGAGAGTGATATTTACATGACATTGGAATTGGTGACACGGAGGAGTCTTGGCTTCAGATTCTTCCTATTTAAGTAGTGCTCTAAGGCTAGGAAAGTATTTCCCCATAGATGATCCCATTTGATCCTCATAATTCCCTTGTGATGTAAGTAGAACCGGAATCATAACCCTGCTTTTCAGATGGGAAATGGGAAATGAAATGACTTTCCAGAGGTCACCTAATTGGTGAGCAATGGGTCTGAGGCCTGGAACCAGAGCCCTCCTCAGCTCTTCCACACACCATTCCCATGCCTTCTCACAGCAAGATGGCCTCTCCTCGGCCTGCATTTGCTTAGGCTACATTTTGCCAACAGCTTCTTCCGAGATGATTTTATCGATGAGTATGACAACTTCAGGGTGACCACAGAAGCCTAAACATTTACAAAAGCCCTAACACAGTGTCAAGTGCAGAGTTTCTCCAAGCCCCTTTGCCTTTTAGCATCTGCTCTGGAGTCTCCAGGAGAAGAGCATTCTTCACCCCATCTGTTCTTCGGCTGCTTTGGGAGGCCAACTTCCATGGAGAGCAGAAGCACAATCTCTGCAGGGAGGCTGTCTGGGTCTGAAGCCCTAATCCACCACTTTCTGCTCTTCTGGCCTTGGGGAGGTCATTTAATTTCTCTAAACATCTGTTACTGTAACTATAAAATGAAGGAACTATTAGCACCTCTTTTATAGCATATGAGGAAATAGTCTGGGATGAGGAAATGTATGGAAAACAAAATACAGCCTGGCCTGGTGTCTGATATATAGTAAGTACTCATAAGCTACTATAAGCTCTGTATGGCTGGTAGTTCTACTACATGCCTGTAGTATCTGAAGGCACTGAGAAGTCTGAAACTAAGAACATGGGACTTGGAAGTGGAGCCAGAGAATAGTAACACCAGCTACCTCCCATATGCCAGATGGTTGGAGAACAGAATAGACAAGATCTGGGGTAGCTAAACTCAGCCCATCAAGGAAATGTTTCAGCTCTGACTTTCTTTAATCACTGCCACATCTTACACCGTAATCAAGGTAATTACAGTCCTGCTTCAGAGAATCAGAGTTGAACAGGCTTGCTTGGCCGGCTGCTGTATTTATACCCGAAGGGCTAAACAGACAAGGGAGAGAACAAGAGGTGATCCCACCCACCCTGCTTTAACAGGCTGGAATCCCCAGGTGGGAGAAAGGAGAACCCTCCTCCTGCACAGAGATCAGACATGGGACAGCAGAGGTTGCCGAGACAGGGGCTGAGTCTCAAAGGGCAGGAATGCTGGTTGCCCACTGCTCTAGTTCCCGGCTCCAAAACCCTTCAATTGTTCCCACAGAGGGCCCTGTCCTGCCACCATGCCCCACCATGCCTCCTCTCCATTCCCCGAGGTCACCCAAGGAAGGGGCCTGCTGCATGAGTGAGCCACAGGAGGCCACCTGGAAGCTGTGGGAGAAGGCCCACCCCCTGAAGCTGTCACAGCCAGTCACTGTCCTCACCCTGGGAGTCTGAGAGGGGTGCACAACTGATTCTTGCTTGCCAGGAAGTGCACTGGGCTGCCCCGGGGCTGGGTCCACAGTTATTTTGGGTAAAGGTGGTTGGTATGCAAAAGGCACTTCCCTTTTCGGGCAGCACACAGCCACTGAACGCTGAGCAGTCAGTGTGTCTCTTGTTCCAAGATCACTCGTCTGAGTAGTCTCTGACTGGAAAATTGCTGGGGTCATCAGAGCCCGATTGAATTACTCACCTCCAAGCATTAAATCACCCCGCCAAGCTGAGGGGGGCCCTGGACCTGGGATGGCGCCCGCTGTCAGCTGCTGCTTTTTGGCATTGCTGCTTTCAGCCAGCTGTGAAGTTGTCACCTCCACAGAGCAGATGTGCATTGAGGTGAGTCCGAGCTGTTTGTCTTTATCCAGATTCAACTTTCTGAAAAAGTTTAGCACACCGTCCCATTTGAACCTTGGCATTTCAGTATCCATTGTTTTTAAAAGGATAATAAGATATAGAGAAGGTTTTCACTATTGTGAGAAGGGAGCCAAAGAGCTCAGCCATGAAATGGTCTGTTGGCATCTTATTCAAACAATTCCCCCAAAGCAGCCCCAGCTGAGACATGCCATGTCAACAGAGCCTTGTGCAAAAGAGCAGACTCCCAATCCTCCCTCCTGACCTAGGGGCTCTGCCTGTCCACCACCACAGCACAGGGCCACTCCCTCAGGCAGTCCTTTGACTTCCTGGCTCTCAGGGTGAAGACTGGTAAAGACAGGCCATGGCAGGCTTCAGAGCACAGATCACTTTGAGTCTGGCTTTCTCCTCCACTTGGACAGCCATCCATCTTTTTGACTGACCCACAGGAGTACAACCAGAGAAGAGGCAGTCACACTTGTTTGGGGCTATACTGGTATTTATCAGCCTGTGGGAAGTCCTTGGAGTAGACAGAGGAAGGGAGGTCCCTCTTGCCACCTTCTAAAGTGCCTCAGCCTTCCTCCCACTGTGTCTCTGACTTTGGTGAGCATCTGGCCTCACACGGCCTGCCAGACAAGGGCTACAGACAGGAAGAGCCATTGGTCTTAGTGGTTTGGTGAGTTTTTTCCTAGGTTGGAACTGGAAGAAGGATCAGAACCAGGGACAGAAAGGTACAGAATGACCTGGGACAGTAGCTGGGCAGAATTCCGGAGAATGATCTCGAGCAGGGCAGAAACCTGACAGAAGAGGGCACAATCACGGCCAAGACTGGAATAAGGCCTAGAAGGGAAATGAACAGAAGCTTGTTAGTTCGGTGTTTGGATGAAATCAGGATGTCCTCAGACCAAAAAGACATGAATGCCTAGGGCAAACTGAAGCTGGGATGACATACTAGTTTTCTCAGGCCTCCACAACCAAGTGCCAGGACTGGGAGGTTTAAACAACAAAAACGTATTCTCTTACAGTTCTAAAACCTGAGATCAAACTGTCAGCAGGGTTGGTTTCTTCTGAGGCCCCTGTCTCTGGCTTATAGATAGCCACACTGTCCTTGTGTCTTTGCAAATGACGTTCTCATGGTGAGTGACTGTAACCTGCAATCTTCTTCCTGTAAAAACACCAGTCATGTAGGATGAGGGCCTTGTGCCTTTGATTGAAGAGGTCTGGCTCCCTCTGTCACCAGCCCCCACAGCATCTGATCCCCTGACCTCTATATCATGATCGCTTTTGCCTAGTTTTAAACTTTATCCACATGGGATCATACAAGGTGTACCCTTTGGTGACTGGCTCCCTTTGCTCAGCATTAACTTTGTGAGATTTATTGATGATCCATGCAGCAAACTTCTGTTCATTCTCACTGAAAATCACTCTTGCACTTGTGAGCCACCATGTATCAATTTGACTATAAATGGATATCTACGTTTTCGCAGTTTCAGGTTATTATAAATGATGCTGCTTTGGACATTTTTGTCTATATTCTTTAGTAAACAATTGGACAAAATTTCATTAGATATATTCCTAAGAAGGAATATATTTGGTCATAGGCTATCCATATGTTTAACATAAATAAGTTTTCCAAAGTGTTGGTACTAATTTATACTCATCGGAAATATATGTGAGTTCTGATTGTGCCACAGCCTCACCAACGTTTGTTACTGTCTCTATTTCAATGTTAGCCTTTCTGATTAGTACATAGTAGAACTTTTATTTTTCTGATGAATAATAAATTGAATACATATGCATACTTTTCTCTTTTACACACATATCATTTTGGGGGCAGTGATAAGTATGGGACCAGGACTTATAACATGCTAGGCAAGTACTGTGGCACTGAGCTACATCCCAGCCCTACAATGCCATTTTTATGCCTATAATGTTCCTGTCCCAGTCTCTTGCCCATTTTCTTTTTCAATTGTCTTAGTTTGTGGGAGTTCTTTATTTATTAGGGATGAAAGTTCCTTACCAGATTGCAAGTATTTTCTCCCACTCTGTGACTTATATTTTCACTCTCCCAATGGTATTTTTTGCTGAACAGAAGTTCTTATTTTATAGCAGCACAATGTATCACTTTTCCTTTACTTTCTGTGCATTTCAGTCCTATTTAAGAAATGTTTGTCTACTCAACAGTATTATGATATTATCCCTTGATTTCGTCTAGAAACTGTGTTGCTTCATATGTATTTCTATTTCTATGTTTCCCACTTAGATCTATAATCTATCAGGAAGTGGTTTTTAAAATGTATGTATCAAATAGGAGACAAACTTAATTTCTAATAAAACTTTTGTTTAAAAAGTTCAAATTTATCCATGAGTCATAAGATATTGCAGTGAACACTCAAATGCTCCCCCTGGATTCTCTGACTGCTAAGTGCTGTATGTCTTCTCTCTGTGTCTCTGTCTCAGTCTCTGTCTCTTTCCCTCTCTCATTCTGTGTGTGTGTGTGTGTGTGTGTGTGTGTGAGAGAGAGAGAGAGAGAGAGAGAGAGAGAGAGAGAAAGAGGCAGAGAGAGAGAGAAAGAGAGATAAGCAATGAAATTACAGAGCCATCACCAAGTCTTCAAAGACTGGCAAATATCCCAAGAGCAGTGGAATCCAGTGCTCTGTGCTTTGGATTGTGGAAACATTTTAGGTGAACTCTTGAATAATTTCTTGGGAATCTGGACACCTTCACATTTTAAATCAGCTCATCCTAGCCCCCCTTCTGGGGGGCTCCAAGTATGGTTGGAGAAAGTTCTTAGTCACTAGTGATGGGGTGGATGTGCTTAGCAGAGCTTTTTTGAAGGAAACTCCAAGTTCATGCATGCAAGGGCTCCCCAAATCTTTAGATGACAGTGAGGTGATCCCATTATGTACTAGCTCCTCTTAGGTAGTCTAGATACCTTGTTTCATTAATCCTCACAGTAGGCCTTCAGAATAAGATTTTAGCCCCCGTCCACACTGGGGGAAAAGGAGGCTCAGAGAACCTAGCTTTGTTTGAAGAACTTGGACTTGAACCCAAGCAGGCTGACTTGAAAAACAAACAGGCAATGAAATGCCCTTGGCCTGGGGAAGTCAGATTGACAATAATGTTTTAAGGATGTGCCTTTTTTTGTTGTTGTTGTTTTGTTTTTTGTTTTTGATTTTTTTTTTTTCCGGTACTAGGAATCAAACTCATGACCTCGTGCTTGCCAGGCAGGTGCTGTGCCGCTGAACTAAATCCCCAGCCCCAGGATGTGCCTTCTTGAGAGTGTTTGTTTTGCTTTCAAAGAGCTCTGGGATTTGCTTGCTAGTGAAATCGCATCCTCCAGATGAGGTGTGACCAAAGAGGATGGCTGGTGTCCATAGTCCCAGACTCCTCCCTCAGGCACGCTTGTGTCGAGTATAGATGAGACCTCTGCAAAGGTGGAAATAAGCAGTCCAAGTGAAATTCAAACATTTCTAAATTAGAAAGTGTTTCAACACTTGCATGAAGGGAAAATACAATGGGATGGGAGGGAGTTAGACACAGCGGAAAGAAGAAAATAAGATCTTGATTGAAAAAATGCAAATGAGTACCTGGAGGGAGAAGGGACTGCAAATAAAGATGCAACATTCAGGAGCCCTGCTCTGGGGAAAAGGCCCTGCTGCAAGACCCAGCAAGAGGCACAGGGGCCGCACAGGACCCAGTGCACAGAGGGCCCTGGGCAAGTGCCCCTTGACTTGGGGTTGGGGTTGTCACGACTGCCACATGGCCTTGCCTTAGCTCTGGTGGGTACAGGTGCTCACATCAAGAACAGTCCTGTCTGGAGTGCACCGGCTGAAGCAGGGGCATGCAAAATCATCTTTGGATACTGACCACGTATAAACTCTAGAAAGACAAGCCGAGGCTCAGAGGAAGTGTCTGTGCAGAGCTCAGGGAAACTGCCACGTGGTGGATTTTTGCCTGCAGAGAAAACCAAAGCTTCTCTGTTCCTTTCTGCCTCCTGTTCTTTTATTGTCTGCAACATCGTCTCTCTGCTGTTCTGCAGCCCTGTGCTCTGCTACCAGAACTCACTCTCCAAAAGTTTTCATCTGACTCTTGACAGGGAAAAAGGTACTACCGTACCACTGTAGTGTTCCTAACAAAAAACTATCACCTGTGGCTGGAGGTGTAGCTCAATGGTAGAACACTCGGTTACCAGGCACAAGGCAATTCCCAGTACTGCAAACAACAAAGAAAACAAAAACTGTATGATCTGTAGCAAGTATGAGAAAACATAGAACCCCCAAATGAGAAACATTCTGCTAGCTATAAGTATTCTTCAAAGGATGTCAATGTCTTCAAATAGTGAGGAATTGTCTCAGAATAAAGGAGTCTAAGAACATATGACAATTAAATGAACATGTGATTCTCCATTGGAAAAACAAAAGGTACTGTAAAAGACAATGTTGTAGTCAGGGTCTACAAGGGAAAAGAGTTAATACAGGACATATAATTCATAGGATTATTTTATAATATTGGCCCAAAGAGTCAAATGTAGAAGAGTGCCAGAAATCTGTCTACACACTAGAGACCCAAAGATTTCAGCTGAGGGTCTGGATCCCATAGCAATGTCCTCCACAAGGCCAACTGGAGGCCTAGAGCCCACAGCAATGTCCCATGCAAGTCAGTATCAAGGGTCTACACTGGGAAGGCCCAAAGGCCGGTGGTGGAAGCTAGAAAGTCTGCACCAGTGGGATAAAGGATCTGGGCCAGCAGGCTGATGGATCTGCCCTGGAGCCAGGAAACGATGCTCAAGATAAGGACCAGAGCTCCCCCAAAGAGAACTGCAGCCATCCTTAGCAACAGTGAGGACTTGAGCTCCTCGGATGATGAGAACCACTGAGTTCATATTAAGAAAGCCAGCGCAACAAGCTTCTCCAGGAGAATCAGCAGCACACCATCTTCTTCTCCAGTTCTCTTTTTTATGCCCTTGACAAAAATCCTCAGGT